TCCTCGAGAGCCTGACGAAGCTGATCTTCGGTATATTGAGGCATTATATATAGAAGAAGACATGTGCAAAAGATGAGCCCATTTGGACGCGAATTGAAAATGTTGTGATAAAAGGAGGTTGGGGGTGGGCATTGGGTTGTGGTGGATTTTCGCGTTTTTGTGGGTGCCAGAAACAGGGGGGTGCCAGGAAGTGGGTATGTTGACTTATTTACACAATCAAGGAGCCCGAGAACGGCACGGTTACAATCAACGTCAGAGGAACGGCGCCTGCCGCCACTCTTATGGTCCAGTCCTTGATGTTATATAAGCCCGCAGGGAGGTACTGGAAGATGGAGACGCCATTGGATCTGGCCGCGCAGCTTTTCAAAAAGCCATATGACCTAGGATTCCGGATCCATAATAATTCGTGGGGTAAGAAGTGGGATAACGAAACAGGTCAGTTGGGCTATGAAACCCAAGCGAATGCCATCGACGGTTTCGTCTACGATCACCAAGACTTCATTGTGTTAATGGCAGCCGGTAATAACGGCGAAGAAAACGAATACAAAAGCCAGATAGGAGCCGCTGCTGCTGCCAAAAATTGCATCACTGTCGGATCGACAGGCTCAACGCGACAAAATGATGGGCAGAATTTTATCAAGGTTCAAGACGTTGGAAATTTCGGAACACAGGTCAACGAAACTGCAGTTTTCAGTAGCCGTGGGCCAACCCTACGTAGATCGCCGCATGTGGACGGAGCCGACAAAACGACACCCGCCGTAGGTCGTATCAAGCCAGATATTGTTGCACCAGGTGTTGCTGTCCTTTCAGCAGCCTCGAGAGCCTTGAGTGCACAATCTCGCAAGAAGAACACATGGAGAATTTCGGAGGACAACGATTGGATTTATGCCTCTGGTACAAGCATGTCGACGCCACTAGTTGCAGGCTGTGTCGCTTTGCTACGTGAGGCATTACAAGAGGGAGGCAAGCAGAACCCAAGCGCAGCCCTAGTGAAAGCTTTACTTATCAACGGCGCCGTCAATTATTCCGAGAGTCTGGGTCTTGGCGTCGGCTACGACTATGAACAGGGTTTTGGACGTGTTGACGTTGACAGTTCTATCGCTATGATCAGACAGTCATCGTTCATGGAGGGCGGTAACGCCTTTGAAGCCACCCAATTCGACGTGCCCCCTTTGCGACAGATCCCAACGGCAGCCAGGAGATGGGTCAGTCCTGAGATACCTGTTCCTTCTGGTAGAAACCGTCTGGTCGTGTCTCTCGCATATCCCGATCCAGCGTCCATCTTTGGGGAACTGCAGAATGATATCAACCTGTATGTTTTCTCAGCTGGGTCTGAGCGACACGGCAATATGGGCAAGAGCTCTGGGCTCGACCATACTAGTAAGCGAAATCTAATGCTATCCCACTATTTGCATACTTACAATGCTACAGACAATGTTGAGAAGATTATTTGGGAGAATGTCCCTGGAAAGACGTTCAAGGTTGTCGTTTCCATAAACAACAACCTCAAACCAAAGGATCCCGCAGCATTCGCGGTCGCCTGGGATATTCGTCCTCTGGCGAGATTGTAAGGGTGTTTTTTGCAGTACCACAGTTTATGTAATATTCAACCCCATTCCCTTTTATTTCCTCTCACTATGCTATCTTTCTACCCTGAGGTACCGACAGGAGACCAGTTGGAGTTTGGGCCACCATACCATATGGGGTTGAGGACACAGACCAATGGCCTTGCAGGAATGTACACGGTGTGGATCGCAGAGGCGAACGGAGGGCCAACAAGAAGGATCAGGTCGAAGATCAATAATATGGTGACATTCTGCTCTACATCATGATGCACGCATCTGGTACTTATCTAATTTCTCTTGTAACGCCCGCTAAGAGATCTATACCGGGCCGGTCGATCTTGACTAGAATGGTCCATTGTTACGAGACTCGCTTCTCGATAGCTATCTTTCTCCCGTGAGAAAAGTCGTGGGAATAATCCTAGCTATCGCGATCGGGTCTTACCTGCCACAGTGGAATAGGTTAAACCAGCTGTCAAGATTCATTACTTAACGGAGGAAGGCTGGTTGCGTGATGCTCAGGTTAACTAGATGATTTCATCCACAATACGAGGATTCAAATTGATTGCGGAATTAGAAATTGATCCCGCAGGTGAGGCTTCTATGAGGCTACCTTACTCAACGCTGCGGAGTCTCTGGTAAATGCTAGACTGCGACATTTCAACTTTACTCTTTGCTCTTGCCATGTTCAAGTATCCACTTGCGGCAGGACTGCTTGATCATCTGTGCGCATAAGCGGAGATTAAGGTAATGCTGTTGAATAGCCGAGAAATCATGGATAGTTATCGATACAATAAGATAGGATACGTGACCGGTGAGTAGCATAGCATTGCATTACTGACAGTGAGGGCGGCGGACTGAAATTGTCATTTGATTCCGCAATACAGAAGTAACTTAAGTAAGCCACCGGATTACCTTCAGCGTTGGCACTCGATAACTAATACGGCTGATAAATGTTGACAAATTGCTGAAACGATGGGATACACTGGAACAGGCTTCGTACGTGATGGAAAAAGCTGAAGTCAAGGCTGAATCGTGGAGTTACTGGCATCCAGCTGCCCTTGTTAGTGTTTCCCTTGAATCGAAATTCCGTTCGTAATTCGCATACCCAACATGACTGGCATCAAGATTCTTGTACTTGGTGCGACAGGTCCTGCAGGTTTACCTTTGCTGCGAGAGCTGCTGCATCGACAACATGGGACCATTGCCTACGTCAGGAACGCGTCCAAGATCCCCGCAGGCCTGGCGAGCAGCCCACTGCTTCAAGTAAGTAAGGAGCCTAGAGAACTTATTTTTCAGCATGGAGTTATAAACTCAGTCTATCGATAGGTCATCCAGAGGCTGATGCACGAGTCGGACAAGCTCGAAAGCGCCGTCGCGGGGAGCAAAGCCATCATCTCACTCCTGGTCCAACGCAATCGAGCGTCGTAGAGAAGACAACGTACTCGAGCATCTACTCAGCTCTTTTCCCCCTCATGCGCAAAACGATGTGAAGCGCATCCTCGCCATGGGCACACTATCCATCACCGAAGACTCGTCCTCGTTCACCCGCTTATTGCAGGCTATCCTCACCCGCATCATCGCGTCAACGGCGTACAACGCAATCATCGACCTCGGACGCGTATTTCAAGAGGAGGCGGACGGACTGGACCGGACCCTGTTTCATATCAGCTTTATTAGTGGCGAGTCGGACGAGGATAGTTGGAGAGCGGATCGTGAGGATCAGCCGACGTATGCTGGGTATATTGCGAAGCCTGGATGGAAGGCTGGTATGAAGAGGGCTGCGTTAGCAAGCTGGATTGTTGATGAGATCGAGAGCGGTAAATGGGTCAGGAAGTCGCCGGCGATCAGCAAGTCCAGCGTTAAGAAGACGAAGGTCTAATGTCAGCAGGTAGTCGATCATTCGAGCTCGTCTATACTTTGCAATGGTGGGTTCAGATCCCCAGAGCACTAGTCATAAACCACCGACTTAGGGTCAATGGTGTAGTGCTCTAATGTAGAATACTCGATCAGTCTAGAGTCATTCACAGAAGTTAGTCCATTCCTCACAGTGTCTTCTCTAGATAATTGTGCTGAAACTGCCTAGCAGACTTCATTACGCTATAACCAGAACTAAGGTAGTATTAACTACCTTAGTTACATAAAGCTGCAGTGTATACAGAGCTAATGGTGGAACAACAGAAGTGGTGATTGGCGCCGATAGCGAAGGTAGCCTCAGAATCTGCACATGCTGTCGCGGCTGATGAAATCAGTCCAAGGACTCCGAGGTCCCAACCACCACATCTCGACTGGGCTTCGCCATAGAAGTACCTGTGTAAGGTACGCGTGATTACTCGCATACGCGATGCTTCTGCCTACCAAAGTAAAAGAGGAGTTTCTGCTACAAAATATTGAACCCCACGAAGTGAACCTCACGAAATCTCAACCACGCTGGTTGTTTGCGTCGAACAACGCTCAAAGCACTCCCAGTGACACCACCACCTGCATGCTGCCGAACGATAAGTTGGCCCCATGCCTGATGCCAGAAATACATTGAGTTATATGCAAAAGCCGGTGCTGACGGGAATATAAGGCTTAACCCCCTTTGGGCCGGTGTGGGAAGAAAGGCTTTGAATCAGGCACAACAAAGACCCTTAAATGAGCGAATACTCGTAGTACCGAGTTGAATCGGCATCATCTGCCCAATAATATATGCCATGGATTCGATAGCAGACGGCAGGTAAGTTTAGAAGTTGAAGTGGGAAAGGGAGAAGGAAGAAGAAAGGCAGTGGTCGAGGCAGACGAAAGGTAAGAGGGCGAGGTGGAAAGAGAGAGAAGGAGTAGTCTCCAACATGATTAAGGGTTAAATCAATTCATCCGCCCAGCACTCTGATTGCCAAATTATTCGTGACGATAAATAGCAGTACAGTTGGCACCTGAATCAAAATGACCGATATCTCCTGTCACCTCCCAAGTGTTGTCAAAACTATCGACGGGTATCCAGCTTTATTTTACTCGCCATCTGGAAGTCATTTCCGAGCTAGACCGATGAGATAACCCTAAACCAGATTGGCTGCATTACCCTTTACACTCTCTACAAGCCCAATGAAACCTGTACCGTAGGCCTCAATGAGCAGCTCCTCCGCCCTTCTGCTGGGTATGAAGGAGCTCAGATCTCTCTCATTGGTCGGAAAATCCTCCCAATGCTTGAAAGGATATGACTCCAGCAAGATCTCTATTATGTCCTGTAGGTTTACGGGCCCAGCAATGGCAAAAAGACGCTCTCCTCGTACCTGTGGATGAACCAATCCAATGACATGCAAGCGGGCATCGTCTTGTACGTTGACAAAGTGCTGAGGAGGTGTGTTCCTCAAGGAGTCGTAATCTTGATCCCACAACTTCTTGACCCATCTAGCCGAGGTCGGGTAACCTTGTTTTTCAGCATTGATAAGCGGGCCGATGTTCGCATTAGGTTGAACTGACTCGACGTTAATTACCATACGTTAGTCCAACTATTTCCAATAAATTACCTGTGTTTATGATTAAGGATGATTTATTCTCCTTCGCCCAACGCGAGAGAGCGCGCTCCGCCTCCACTTTGCTGGCGGAGTAGACAGTTTCCCCGTCGGCTCCAGGTTGCTTAATGCGTTCAACTGCTTCCTCGTTGAAGCTCTCGGCAGTAAGTGTAAAGACCTTTCCGGGCTTAGGTTGGGTAACCGCGAAGGAGGATGACGTGAAGACGAATCTCTTCAAACCGGCTTCCGATGATGCCTTGGCGGCATTCAATGCACCATTCACTGCTCTAGGGATGGCAACGGCCGGATCTCGAGACCCCTGCATGTCGTTGGCCACATGGATGAAGCCAACAGCCCCTGCGGAATCAGCTCCTGCTCAGTGTGAGGGTGGGAAAACTTTCATACCTTGGACTGCTTCGTTGAATGCGTCTGGAGCTTCCATGTCTGGAACAGAGGCTAGGTGGAACATATGGCTGCCGTACTTGGTTTGGAAATAATCTTCCAACCACTGACTCTTAGAGACGTCTCGCGTCGTACCACGCACCCTGTAACCAGCTGATATAGCTTGGTCGGCGACGTGAGAGCCGATGAAGCCACTCACGCCGGAAATGACGACGAGGCTACCATAAGGCACAGCCGGTTGAGGGATTCCGGGGATGGGCATTGCGTGAAAGGTTAAGGGGTATCACTGGTATATGCGGGGATAAATAACGAGGCTATGAGATATACTGGCGTTGTCCAAGTAGGTGATTGTAGATGACATGAATTAAACGGAAAGCGGCGCTAGAGCTTGAGCCCAGTCTTATACTCAATGATAGACCACATTGGTGTAGGCATTAGCGGAGATTAGATCCCACTAAATCCTCTCTTACCCCACAGTGTCAGCGCCTTTACGAATGACGTATGTATGCCTAGAGCGCCACTTCCGGACGCATAGCTCTTAAGGACGGATAATATTTCCCACCTTTAACCAGCCGGATTTTGGTATTGATATACTTAGACTTAATTATTTCTTTTTGCCCTTAGATAAATATTTTATCTCAGAGCTTTTTTTATACATACTTATACTGTAAGAGTTTATTATTAAAATAGAAGAACATTGAATTCTTGTCTATATCAATACTAAGTTAAAAGAACATTTTATTGAATGTTTCTAAATCTGCTTTGGCTTAGATTTCAAAATCGATCGGGTTAGTTTAGATAAAGCGGCGCCTGAGCCTGGGATAGACGAAGAAAGCGCTCGGATTCAACGCACAGAAGGCTAAAGCTGCTTGGTGGACTGCACTCGTCACCATTCGCAAGACACCGTTTTTGATATGACGCATATGATGTCTTTTCTCCCTCATTCTTCAATTAACATCTTCCGAGCAGTGTCTCGACGGGCCGACTCTACTCCTCGACCAAGGGCCGAGACTACTATACCGAAGAGTCGACGGTTATTGGACCAGCGCTGTTTTAGGTTGGGTTCCATCACTAATCAGTTTTTAATTCCGAAGATTTGGGCTTGTTACAATCTAGGCTTTATTCACATCAATAGGATTTATCGAACATCCATCTATGTAGTATTCTTTCCTACAGAATTTAGGTTCATTATCTGATCGCTCACTCTTGGCTCACCTTGCCTGCTTTGCAACGACCGAATGCCTGGGAGCGCTGGAAAGAGGCTGGATCTAGCTTCGAGCACTGGTGCCTGGGACGTTCATGTTCTCATGCCCTTTCGTACACAGCGAAAGACTCGATGACCAGGGCACTGCGCTCGAACTGACAGAAGAACGATGAAAAGCTGCCGAGGAGAGAAGCAAGTCGATGGATCCATATCGCGAGAAGAGATTCGAGATTCCATCGAATACATTGGCCTTTCCACATGTTATTTGAGCTAGACCACCTGCTAGGGACGACTTTAGTATGCAGGAATGAAGCCTCTGGTCCTGTGTTGCTAGACGTTCACTGGCCCATAATCAAGGAATCTGGGTGATATCCCGTACAGGGTTGCCGTCTTAAGCCGAGAGAGTACTCGAGAGGAGACGATGTGGGTACAATAGACAATTTACGTCGCTGAGGCTAACCCTGATGTTTCCGCAGTGTTTAAAGAGTTTGTTGAAATGAACCAACTCACTCCTCTAACAGTCACAGACCTATCTTACCTTGGTTCCTAAAGAAACGAGTGGCTGATTACTCATATCCTATTTGCATAGGCAAACACCGCTCTCAGAGTGTTTCATGCTGTATGCTTATGAAGGCCAATGTCATTCAGCGCAACTATACTACTTCCTACGGAGCACAGAATGAGTCATTTGATACCTTAATTACTCGTATACGGATACCTTACCTACATATACTCGATCCATCTTGAGTTCACGCAAGTAGTTACTTGATTCAGGCTGGAATACTAGCCCGTCTTGGTTCAAGTGCTGTGAGACGGTCTTCACAGGGGAACAGCATGTGTTCTCCCTCTCTCCTCCCCCCCAACTCACTCGGTAGCACACTCTCCCTGACAATGGTCTTATGTAGCACAACCAATACCATCACTGCGCCTTGGTAACTCTAATAACTATCTGTTGCTGCTTTTCTGAAGATCTTAGGAGGGACTGCCCAGTAGTGCGAGGCAAATAGCTCATTTTTTGACGTCCAGCGTGAGTGAAGTCCAAGCTTGATGGCAATGCCTATTCGCCAGGTGCCTTTCAATGGTCATTATTGCATTTGAGAACAAGATCATTAATGCCGCGACAATGGCTACCATCTGCATTCAAACTTCAGGCTGTATTATGCTGTGCAGCCGCTGATCGGCGAGGTTTCACTATGAAAGAAAATATGTTCTTGGTAATTGTTTTGAGATCACTTCCCTAATGATCGCCCCGTGCTCCATAGGGTGCTGAGGACAACGCAACCCGTTCCTCATTCTCACCATCTAGTCTGTCGTATCCCCCACTGTATCCCATTGAGCGCTCATTTTGCCCGTAGCCAGGATGGGTCCCTTGGCCGTATGGAGTTCCTTCTTGTCGAGGTGCCGCTCCACCCTTCGCCTTCTTGTTTTTCTTCGAGACCATCTTCTTGATCTTCTTCATGCACTTTTTGACAACTTTCTTGATGTATTTCGTCGGATCGAGCTGCGTCTTGTTTCCGTCGCTGGAGCTGCCTTCCTTGCTGCCGCCTTCGGTACCCCTGCGCTTCCTCCTGCGGCAGCAACAGCAGCATGCAACTACAGAGACAAGGGCAAGAACGCAGACGACGATTATTGCCACTATTCCGCCGGGAATGATGCGGATGCCGCCATCATTGTCGTCGTCATCTGAATCGCCATTGCGAGCTAGCAAGTGGTGGATAGGGCTGTTGTAGGCTGCACGAGCCAAGGGTTGGATAACAGGCATTATCTGCAGATAGTTCCGAACTTTAAGCTGGTTCCAGATGTTTGCATACAATTGGCTGTAGGATGGGCGATTCGGATGAGTTGATCTGATGCTTAGCGGACAACGTTCTGACTAAGGTGTCAGGTAAAGAGCGTGAATGAGAATAGAGTGAGTAGCGATTGACTAGCACAATCATTTTCCAAAATTTTGGAAACGCTTATGTTTTTATCTTCTCCTGGCCGGATTCTGCTCAAAGCCGTTGTGTCCAAATTAAGCATCTTTCATCGTCGGCATCCCACAGCATTGTGGCTTGGCGGGCCTGCCACTCCATAAGGATCCCTTGAATTAATCAATTGCCATAAATTTGTCAGTGCGGTAATATCCTGTGCAATTGTCGGCCGTACTGATGATTGGCGGCTGCTGGGGACGCCTGACTCGCGGGAGCAAATTGAGAGCTCGTGCCGCAAGGCCTTACACCCAACTTGTCGGTGACGCCGTCGAAAGGTACAAATCCCTGCCGTTTGCAGTAAGAAAAGGTTGCATTTTTGTAGTCTACGGATTTGCCGAGTCTACCAGCCCACTCTTGTGTATGATGTTCACTTGTGCAGGCCAATAGGAGCACGCACAAAACGGCCTTTCCATAGGTACTCAAGGTATAAACGATCCCAAAAGCTCTTCTTGCGATTCCCTTCCATCTGACATGGCATTAAGCATACCTTACTTCATAGAAATGAATACTGATGTGACCCCTAGAAACTTGAGTTGAAATTGCCACCCTCGGATGTTGCTAGCTCGCAATTAAACCGCATTTTTACTCCCCAGACAATTACGTTGGGACTTTTTAGATATATTGAGCACAAATGCGATATTTCGACGCCGTAACAGTACTCATTGCGATATGCTGGCCTGCCCATGATGTCGGAGAATCTAAGAGACAGAATCTAGTCGTAATGTAGTATGTTATGTTTCTTTAATAACACGAAACCTTGTATGAAGTTGATATTCGAGAAAGAAAGACCACGATATGGGTCGACGTGACCGAAAATTTTCGACACGCAGCTTTGCTATGTCTGGGTTGAATAATGATACCGACCTCTTGATACCGAATTGCGAAGTTAATTTCATCCCGGCAAAGTCTCTAGTGATTAATTCTTGGCTCGGGTATAAAAATTGAGAGAATCTCTCCGAAACGTTTCACGTGAATCCCATGTTCAGGATTGTGATGACTTCTTGGACAAACGTTTCGGTAATCATCGGCGCCTCGGGAGTATTGTCCAAGGCACTATTAGTGAGTGCCAAGAGACTCAGAATAATTTCCACTCGATATACTTCTGTGGATGGATAGCCTGCAGGAATATGTAAACTACTGTCCATCCGAAATGCCGTCTGCAGTAGTGGCTTTGTTTTGGGATGCACACAGCTAGAGCTTTAGGACTCAAATCGGTGCTTAGCCTTATCCTATCATCAGGGGCTCTCTGCACATGGACCGGAGACCGTGCGTTGATCACCGCAGGAACACGAGCATATTGTGTCTCAACATAACATGACTGTTGAGAAATAAGTGTATTATTACAAGATTGTTTATGAATCGTCACACCGTGTCAATCTGATTGGATTCCCAAGACCCGCCACACAACTCCCAACGAAGGTGGCAGTATTGTAAGCATACTGAGTGAAAAAAAAGAGGATCAAAAAGGCCATAACCTAGAGAGGGGATTGAGTGGAAATTCCAGTATCAGTGACAAAGACTCCAAATGTCAGCCCAACTTTCCGTCATTATGTGTCGGCCCTTGATAGGCTCGTAAGTCCAATACTTCGGGTTCGGGCTCTGTCTCGCGCTGTCTACGGCGACGTCGCCGCCGACGCCAAACGAAGTATCCAGCCAGTAGGAACACCAATATGGTTACTGAGATAGTGCCATGTTAGTAGGTGTAGGAATCTGGGGACAAATTGTTTCTCCTCATGGTTGTTCCACCTACCTATTCCTGATACAAAGCCGAGAATCGCGATACCGACCTCGGTGAAAGTGGGAACGCCCTGGGTCATATTTATGTTGATCGCCGGTGGCTGGTATTGTTTCAGTCCATCACCGCTGCGTAATGCCGTGTTCTGGTCAGCTGCCGGGACTTGTGTGGCAACTACGGTCACTGTCGGGGGTACTAAGGTAATAAAGACGGTGTTCGTTGGACCTCTTGATGCCGGCGGCGGCGGTGGCGGCGGCGGTCCGGGGGGTGGAGGAGGCCCTCCTGGGGGTGGGGGTGGAGGCGGCGGTGGTCGAGGGGATGGGGGAGGTGGTGGAGGAGGTGGTGATGGAGGCGGTGGTGGCGGTGGCCCCTCTGGGGGAGGAGGCGGCGGTGGCGATGGCGGAGGAGGAGGGGGTGGTGAGACTGGGGGAGGTCCCTCTGGGGGTGGCGGCGGCGTTGGTGAAGGAGGCGGGGGTCCTTGAGGAGGCGGCGGTGGTGGTGCTTGTCGTCCCTGATATTGGTGCCTTGAATCAAGATTCAGCCTTGGTGGTGGAGGCTTTCTGCGAGTCAACGAAAATCGTGCCATCTTGTCCGTGTTTTCGTACCTAAATATGTGTTAGCGATGCAAAACCCTCATGGTCAAGCTGTCTAAGGTCTCTTACCGCTGCTAGAATGCCTCCCACTTCACGTTATTACGTTGTTTCACAAAAGCGACAGTGTCTAGAAGGGGAGACACGATGTTTTGGACGGTTAAAAGGGAGCAAAGACAATCTTGATCGCTCAGGCTAATGGTACATATCGAGGCAGCAAGCAATTAAAGAACACAGGAGCGTCTGCCATTAATATTCACATTCGACCCTATCTTTTGGATGGGAGACTGTGTCCTAGGAACACAACTGGATGACTTTAGTTCAAATCGTGCTGTCGGTGCGACACTCGGCGCAGGGGAACTCATCTGAACTTCGGTAAGTTGAACTATCCAGTTGGTTTGGTTTCAAGCTTTTTACACACGAACCACTTACGTCCAGTTGACAGGAATGAAACAGAGTTAAAGTCTACGTCTGATGACCGCGACTCATTGCTAATAATAGCATTACTCACAGACAAAGGGCACATAGCGTCGACGTTCCGAGGCTGCATGGAATATCTCCTCCCAATGCCATTCAAGTTTTTGATCGAGCACCCCCGCAGTAGGAGATGGTGTTCAAGCTTAGAGAAGTAGTTGTAATCCTCTATCCGACTCATCCACCCGGCGTCAAGAAATTGCTGCAGCATTCGGCCCATATGGAGGGATTACTTATATTTAGAATGCAGGTAGCATAAGGTAGTCCAAAAATTGGCTTTGACTGACAACGACGACGGCACTTTGGCCCTCAATCGTCGTAGGCAGTATGTTCAAGTCAGAGTACTTGAGGAACTATTGACAGCATCTTGCTAACAAGTTGAGGCTACTGCAGAGCTTGCAAGTGGTTGGCGATTTGAGGCGGTACTGCCCGGCGCAAAGCTCCTCACAATCACGGTAGGTTCAAATGCCCACATCAATACCCACCATCACATCTCGATCGGGAGCTTGAAACAATGTTCGACGTGATGCTACGTCTAGGTCAAGGTTCATCTCCGCTTTTTCGATCTGCGAGAGGCATTCCGGAAGACGGAGGTTGCACAGGCGAGTCACGACCTTACCCCTTCCCAGTACGACTGGTGCAGTCAGTTGATGTTTCAAATCGGGCTTGCGGTAACATTGTCGCTGTCTTATCATTGATTGGCCGTTCATCCGTCGTCGATATGGATCCATCTGTAAGCTGATGAGTATCTAGCCTCTCTTTTTTGTTTTTGGGGCACTTGAGCTGCCACTCGCCAGAGCTCAAGGGATGCAGAGATCTGCCAATGGAGAAAGAATAGAGGTTCCTCAAATCATAGGGTTACCCAGATACGCTTTTTGAAAAGGGCATGTGCCTCGATGGTTAACATTCACTAGCTCGCAACCTTTTCCAAGGTTATGATCGCTTCTCTCTAGATGGGTGTGCAGCCTTTGCACTGGATCGAACCACTGCCCGCCCAAGGGCTGGTGCCATCTTGAAAGGATTGCCATTTGGTCTCGGAAACATTCTGCCATCCAGTCTTAGTGCTATTTAAATGTCAGGCTCAGTTATCGACAAGCATCAAATAGCTCAAGAATGCGCCAAACGGTGAGGTAGGTATTGCTAAGCCATACTAGAATTTGGTTTAGCCACGAATGAGGACAGGTGATCATCGGGAGGGTCGAGCCGGGGGAACATGTTTCATTTGCGCACCATAACCTGTAGGCTTGGCCCACTCAGCCCATCAAATCGACGACAAGGCGGACAGACCACTCGGCATCAGGCAACCCGGCGGTTGACTATCCGGGATAGGTGACGCGTCGGTAAGCCATCCGGAGGCGGCTGAATGGCAAAGTTGCTCCGCCAAAGTTCTGATGGAAAGTAACAATGCAGTCCGGCGACTTTAATCGTCGGGGGTTTCCCGGGACCGGCTGGACTATTGCGGAGGTGGGGTATTATCGCGTTCCGCACGGTAGTACACGGCACGGTCCGATTTGGAATGTTATAAATGGCGTACGCCGATAATAGCAGATCTTGTTGGTGAGTTGAGGACTTCGTCTGCGATACTGAGGACATTCTGATGCTTCCATAAGATACATTACCTATGTCTTGTATGAAATGATTGGGGAAGTGGACATAGGTGTGCAAGTAGCACATGCGGCAAAGGTACCTGGCTCATCAATCATGTCACACAATATTGACCTCACCATGACATAATATCACTCAACAAGCACAAGCTGCATCAAGCAAAAAGGTTGGTCAACAGAAACAAGAATATTCCCCCAGGTGAATCGCGTCACCGTAGAGTCCAGGGATGCCGAGAAGAATCGCCGTGGCCCTGACATTTCCAGATTGACCGCACCAAGGAAGGTCTGTACGATACACGGGCGAGAGCCAAACCTGGAATCATGGAGCGCTCGAATTCGCGGTTTTCCTTCCAATCTCTGTCCAATGTCCTTTGATACCTGCCATTTCTCCAGTGGTTAAACGGATCCCAAACCACTCCTCCAGCGCCTTGACCCTGTCGCTCTCGTCTTGACAGTCTTTAACCACACGAGTCTTCCCTCCCATGTTCTCCTTCAGAATAGAGCCCACCAACATCCTCTTGCCGACAATCTCTCTATCATCTTTAGCCCCATCGTTGAGAGTTTCCCTCTTTCTGAGAAACTTAACAACTAATGGGCAAAATCTCTGGAAAGAGTGAGGTGACGTGCTTGTGTACCAGTTCATGACTTTGAAGTCCGGTTCCAAGAATTCCTGCTCGGAGAAGGCGTAAAAGGAGTTCCACTCCTTTGCTGGTCCGTTTCGGTACTGGTAAATCCAGAGTTTTGAAGCTTCTGTTCGAAAAACTTGATTCGGAATGTGGCCACGCACTAAGCGGACCTCTTGGGTACCAAGATTTCGTAATACTTGATCATGCTTCAAGGGGAGTGGCTTGGTGGCGCCGTCACCTCCAAATGCTACATCAATCATGTACTGGGTTTTGTCTGGGAGGCCTACAAGGCTGACCATGTGTGTACTGACGAATATGAGCTGATAACCTAGGAATTGGAAGATCTAGCAGACGCAGTACAGTTACTTACTAGCCAATGTAGTCACCGCTAGGCACACCATCCTTCCGCAATCGGATTCGAACCCCAGTCATGTATGCCTGGAACCCAAGTGTCCTCAGAACATGGTTCATCAGAATACTGACTTCCATGCAGTAACCACCTCGGCCCCGACCGCCTGTGACTAACTTCTCAAACAGCAGCTGAGGGTCTAGCTCAACCAGCCGCGATTCGGAGTAGTGCAAAGACAGATTCTCATAAGGAATGGTTGAGATGGTGTGTACGTGGAGGGCGGTGAGATAAGCTAGATTACGAACCGGCCTGTTGCATTGCCTGTACTTTGTAGGGAGACATATGAGCTCTTCGAAGAGAGCTACCTGTTCCTGGTTATAGGCTGATTTTGAGAGTTCCGTCATTATCAAATAGAGTTGCCGCAGAAAGATGAAGGCCGTTGAGATTCAAGTTGTAGCTGTGAGGTTTTATGTCGGTAGGTCACAATACCTGAATTTGTTAAGCATCGGAGCGATCAAGGATCATTGAGTCACACGAACTTTTCGCGAATGATCGTCCCGGTGGAACCCGAAGGTATGCCAACACTAGTCCAAAATTGTTTCAAAACATAATTGGCAAGATGTGAATGACTCGATTCAATCCTCTATCAACTCGAACTCATTGTCAGTTGCTGCTGAGCATAACTAACATTGTTCGTGGAGGACAGAGACAAGGAACCGGTTCCTTAATGGACGAAAAGTTATTATCGCCACTGTGCGGAGACCTGGATTGGCCACAAGCTATCGTCGTCTCAAACTCGCGAGCTAAGAACATCACGTTGTCCCCGTAGTCACTTTGCCAAACCTCTTAGAATAAGCTATGGCCGACCATTGATGCGATCTATAGTCCGAACTTGCGGTCAAAGCATCATTCGATCTTCATTGTGAATAATTTGTATGCGAAAAGTATACACATATATCAATGTTTAATCAAATAATGCAGCATGCTGCAAAGAACCTAAAGTCCGATCGAGCACTGGACCACGGGAACAAAGTAGGAACGTTATCCTTCTCTCCGCCTATCTTCATGCGAAATTTGGCAGCAAAAAAAAGGTAGGACGAAGGTGAAAGATCTTTCACCATTGGCGATAATATGGGCAACGCTACATCATTAAACGCTAAGTTCTAGCTTACAATGGTGTCAAGTCGGTCTATATCTGTGCTTTAGGAGATTCTTCAGGTTAACTAAGCTTCAATTGGATCCGTACGTCATGTCAATAATACCCATCTTTGCGTCATTTCCTAGTTCCAGACCTCATGGTCGCAATATCTGACCCAACCTGAACCAATCACCGAATTTACCGTGTCATCAACTTACGATGGATAAACCATATGACAATTGCCGGACGAAAAAACACTTTGGCCCCAGTATTGATCACCTGAGCACGGGTTGAAAAGTTGGTCTTGGCCAGAAGAAAAGGTGCAGCGTACCTCGTGACGAATGGCACCGGATCGAGTCCAAGATTTCCGAAGCAATCATCTTATATTCATTCTCTCCGTTCAAAAACTCCTTTACTAGAGACGTAGTAGCGGCACTGTCATAGTCGGAGAGATACGGACGCTAATATGTACATTGTAAGATCCAGAAGGTTGCAGCGCACTTTGACACGGAAATTGGCCTGCCTACTAATAAAATGGTCTGCCGAATTGGCTGAGCCACCAGAAGAAGCTCTTCGCGTCCGTTCCTCATCAATTTAGAAGACTTCAAGCATTGTATACAGCAATATACTCAGCTTGGAGAGTACCCCCAGAGATTGTGTTCGCAAGAGGCGTGGTGCTCCCGTAGTTGTTGTTCGGGAATGCACCGCCAATTGCGAGATTCAGCAGAATGAAGTGAGGCGAGTGGACGGCCTGGGTCCAAACGTCTGCGGGCAAATCGGTCTCGACGACTTGCCAGAACAGGATGCCATCAACGAACCATCTGACAGCCTCAAGCTCAGCGGTGCGGTCAACTTCGAGGGTGTAGGTGTGGAAGTTGCCCTGGCAGGCACTGTTGGGGCACTCGCGGCTCCCAACGAGACCATCAGTCTCTTTGCAGGGACCTCCGGGGTTGACACCGCAGTGCATGACACCCCAAACGCGGTTGATGCCGTTGACGTTCTCCATGATATCAAATTCCCCATTGGCCGGCCAGTTCCTTACATCAATGTCAGTACATCGCTTGACACCGCGCCCTTACTTTCGTGACTCACCAATAGTTACCACGGTATGCATTCCCAAGAGTCCAAAATGCTGGCCAATAGCCAATACCATTGCTACCAACCACGGGCAGATTAAGGCTGGCTTGGACACGCATCTTGCCACCAGCTTGAGCCATGAAGTCTCCACGCTGAGACTCGATACGAGCAGATGTCCATGAACCAGATGAAGCTTTAATGGCTGTAATCTGCAGAGCTCCATTTCCGTTGAGGCGAAGATTGTTGACGCTGCTCGTATAGGTCTGGATTTCTCCGGTACCCCAGTTGGCAGGCCCGCCAGGATAGGAAGTGCCGGTGTCGATGATCCAGTTGCCGGTATTGGGCAAACTGTTCGCAGAGCCGACAAAGTCGTCACTCCACGTGAGACTAAAGCCAGGGATTGTTGGAACTGCACCATGAACAGCGGTCAGACCAACGGCGAGAGCCGCAACGACCTTGTTGATCGCCATCGGAATGGATTCGTGATAGTGGTGTCTTAAAAAGAACCCTTAGGAGCTGTGAATCAAAAGAGAGTAACAAGGTGCAATTGGAAATCAAATGAAGCAAAGGAGGTGTAAATGAGCGATCTGGTTGTCCTCGAGAATGCACAATGCCGTTCTGATTCTCGTCTTCATTTTCCAAGAGAGTTTCTCTCGTTATATACTCTCAAGCGTATTTATCCTGCCATCCTTCTAGGTGGTCTGCAGCCACATGTCGATGTTCTGGGCTTCATTTCAGTAGATTGAAATAACTGGGTCGACAAACACCAGAACTGCCTAGCCCTACACGTCTGGTGGTCCGTTACAACACGACGCGGGGAACACTGCCGAGAACCCCACGATACATGCATGGTGTTGTCTCCTTTCTGCCCCGCAAGCATTCACATGTCACTATCGAGCGATGGTAAAGTACACGGGAGGGAAACGGCCCTTTTCAACTAGTGACCCCCTCTTGAGATGTTACCGTAGAAGAAGTTGGGGAAACCCATTGCGTGAATGGTGGGCTAGAGATGGTAGCCAATATCGATTCGTCTAGCCCCTGGGATGCCCAGACCGACAGTTCGTCTGATCGTAACTCCTGACAGGCATAGTAGCATCGGGGTTCCCCTTGACAAGATATTGAGTTGTCTCACCCATCCCTACCTTAGGGATCCGATCGAGCATCAAGGTCCAAAAGAGCACATTCACAAATGAGCTTTGATTTGGGCTACTAAGAAAGCTTGCGAGTCGCTCGTGGCCAGATCGAACGCATCTCAGTTCACCAGTCTTCAGGGAGTCGCATTCCCCCGTTGCTGACGGTCAGTTGCGTCGGGCTAGATAGATGAATCTTTTAGGCTAACGGTATACTCCGTACTTGCTGGCAAAAGGGGAGAAATACATAGAATTATCCTTCCTTGGCGGAGAAAAGATGCCCATGATCCCATGTGGTGTAAAATGCAACCTCACAAGTAGGCGGAGTCGTCTTCTCTTCCCACCTGCTCGGCTCGGGGGTGTCGGCAGCGAGAGCGAGGTGGTCAGCACCTCCAGAGGTGGGCAGTAAGCTGCCTGTAGGCAGAAGTTGGGGTAAGCTGTAGGCCAAGGAGTACCATTGACGCACGCTAGCATATGTAAGTGTCAATCTGGTACACAGCACCAGGCACGCGAGACCCGAGACATTTACAGGGCTACAGGATGCCCCAAAATCACCTAATAGCAAGCGGCCGTTTAAGCTTGTTTCCCCGTACCTGTCGATCGGTCGATTGTCGGTTTCTTTCCCCTCATTTCACATGACTAGGGAGTATTCATATTTCTGAAATCCCCCCAGCTGCCCAATTCGGCTCAACAGCCGACCGTCTTCGGTGCTTTGCCGGCATCATTCAGATGATTTCTCTGCCCATGAATGACCTCCTCGTTATTGCCCCGCTTGAAGCCTGCTCTCGAATCCCTGAGTCAAGCATCCCAAGATCACGCGGGGACGCGGAGACGTGAGCTGCTTTGGGGTTAACAAGGGTGGTGAGCAAGGACCATCCCCGGCCTGAGTTGCGGAGCACCATGCCCGCGGGACCGATTGCAGAGAATTTTGAAGTAATATGGCCGTGAAAAAGAAGGGAGAGAGATTATGAAGACTGTAGTAGGCGTAAGACTTTTCCACAACGGTCCGAATCTCGGTCTTAAAATGCCGCTGTGCCATCACGAGATCCAGGGTAGCTTCGAGTAAGAGATTTAGAGCCGAGACAACCTGCATGACGATAAAAAAATGGAGTTTAGGGAAACATGGGGTAGTATCCGTACTAGTGTTCACATTTGTCGCGCACCAACAGTGATAGACCAGTCAAGTTGAGAAGCCCAGGCTGGATTCTTTCACGTGGAATCGATGAAGATTACTGTCACTGATTAATCTTCGCTCGGTGACATGTCGGTAACAGGCAGAATATTCGAATCTAGAAGCATTTCGACGGGGCAAACATCGTCACCTGTGTCGAAAGCATTTACGCCGTCCGTCCTTCGGCTACCTTGCCACGTTTCCGCAAGCTCCAGCTGGCAGTTCCAATTACCCACCCGCAACGCGATGATATTGGAAACTCTCCTCTGGTCGTTAACATAATCTTTTTCCAGGCCGTGCCGCAATGATATATGTCCATCATCTCGCGAGGCCGACCGTGTTAAAGGGCACGCGAACACAATGACGCACCTGAGAAGTTTTGCAATACCGTGTGCCGTCCCCGGGCCTCACTGACCCCTCACCTTGAATGAAAAATGTACGCAAATTTTCGGCATTGAACCTCGCTTCCACTCAATGAGCATTCTATTTTCAGAGGATAGAGTGATAGCTCAAGAACCTACATTCAACTTGGTAAGTGGAGGCGCTTCGGTTCGTCCCGCATCTGACGTGCAGATGTGGCGTAGAGCTGGCACGACATGCTTCCCATGCTCGGTGCGATTTGGGCCGCAGAATTTGATAAACACAAGGAATGTCTTCCAGTCCATTGCAACTGGATAATTTAGGTTTGCTTAACCATAAGCCTCCAGGCCGACTTCAAAATCTGTATTTCTCGCGGAGGCCGTTTCACTGTGCATAATGTGGACTGAGAGATGAGCCTTGATCGTTCACCAACCTACGTTGACAATGGTCGAACGCATGCTATCCTGCGTCTGCACTGCAAGATGAGCGTCCAAAGTCTCTACGGCCTTCCGCTGGCGTAATGCCTCACGCATCAGTCTGAAGCATTGACACGCTGCGTAGGCGGCGAAGTGGTTAAAGTCCGGGTCCGGTGGAAGTACGGCTCAAAAATTGGTTCTAGTCAAGGTGCAAAATCCGTCCCCTGTCTGTGTTGAAGCTCAGTAAGCTAAGGTAATTAATTGAATGACAAACTCCGCAGGATGAAATCGGCGGGACTATTTCGCCGGTTTGAGGACGCTAGACAAATCTTCGGCGCGGCTGGTAATAAAAACCAACTGCGCCATACCTCGGCACAAATCTCAGATACACACAGTTCCATTGAACGGGCTGATTCTGATCCGATGTAGTGGGGGTCCTTCGTTTCACCGGTGACTCGATCTTTGTAATCAGTTCTTGATAAGACTAGGCTTGAATGACGCCTGAGGTTAAAGCTCCTATTGTGGGACTGTGGCGGCCATGCGGCGGCGTTTCGTCCGTCAAACCAGCGGAGTTGAGATTTCACTCAATTGAAGAATACGATAAGAGCGTGTTTTGATTCAACATTCAAAAGTCGTCACACTCTCCTTTATTCGTAGAAATCGAACTCAACTAATTTACTACTTTGCTTCTGCATCTCCAACCGAGTGAAGCAGATTCGAAATTGACTCCACTCAGATTTCTAGAGAGACCAATCTTCGAAACACAGGAACCATGTCAAACTCGGCAATCGCGAAGCCATTGACGTTAGCATGTGGCCTTACTTTGCCCAACCGCCTCACAAAAGCGGCGATGGCCGAGAACATGGCCGACAGCGAAGGCTTACCCTCCCCTGCTTTCCACGCACCTTATGCTGAATGGGCCGATGGTGGTTGGGGATTGGTCTTGACCGGTAGGCAAGCTGGCAGCTCTAGATTGATACTCACAATAAGATACGGCGCATAAACTGACTATTCAACGTGGAAAGGCAACGTGGAAGTCGACCAGAGGTACCTTGGTTCGCCCAAAGACATTGCATATAATGATTCTATTCCGTATGAGCGGCAGCTGGATGCCTGGAAGGCCTGGGCGAAGGTCTGCAACAAGAATGGCACCCCGACCATTGTCCAGGTCAACCATCCTGGCCGCCAATCTCCCCTTGGCGCTGGCAAGCGTGGCTTTTTTGAAAAGGCAATTGCACCCAGTGCGATACCTTTGAACTTTGGGCAAGGTCTTGTCGCGCGTCTTATCAGCTCTTTGGTCTTCGGTACTCCTCGGCAAATGACTGTTGCTGATATCAAAGATGTTGTTCGTCGCTTCGCCCTGACGGCTAAATTGGCGTCGGAAGCCGGTTTCGCCGGGATGGAAATTCATGGCGCCCACGGCTACCTGCTAGCTCAATTCATGTCCGAAAAAAGCAACGAGCGAGCCGACGAATACGGCGGATCACCAGCCGCCCGTGTGAAGATCGTTGTTGAAATCATCCGGGCGATCCGTGAAGTGGTACCGAAGACCTTCTGTGTCGGAATCAAATTCAACTCGGTTGACCACCAGTCTCAACCTGAGCTCGATGCCTGCATCGAACAGCTCAAGTTGATTACTGATGCTGGGGTTGACTTTTTGGAGGTCAGCGGTGGCACATACGAAGACCCCCTGGTAAGTGGCGACTAATCTCATAGTCACCAAGAATGCCTTCCAAGTTAAGATTTCACGCTAACCGAAGTTTTCAAAAATATGGCTACTGGTGTGGCCGATGAAAAGAAGTCAGACCGTACAAAGGCTCGCGAAGCTTTCTTCCTTGAGTTCGCTCGGGCGATCCGCCGTGACTTCCCAGATGTCCCCTTAATGGTGACTGGCGGCTTTCGTAGCCGTCAAGGGATGGAGGCGGCCCTTGCAAACAGAGGCTGCGATCTCATCGGACTAGGCAGGCCTGCAGTGTTGAACCCGGCACTACCAAAGAATACCATTCTTGCAGCTACTGTCAAGGACGAGGACGCTAAGTTGTACGTGCGCAAGATCGAGGCGCCCTGGTTCACCAAGAAGTTTGGACTCAAGGCAATTGGCGAGGGCGCTGCGACGGTAAGTCTCAACCCATATAGATGCACTATTGCTTCTCTTTGCGAATCGACTAACGCTCGTTCACTTAGGCCTGGTACGGGGCTGAAATACGTAAGCTGGGAAAGGCAGAGTAGGACCTGAGAAAGAGGTTGAAGATGTGAAGACTTTTGATACCACTGAAGGCTGAGGGATCGTTGCCGATGCCTTCTTCCACTGCGTCTATCCTTGGTGAGCTACATAATCTGCGAGACGAATGAGACGTAGTCGTATTCTTCATGAACTGCACGATAGAGTCCCATCACACCTTGTGCTATGGTTATCGGCATCTTACCATGGACAACATTTGAAAAATGTACCGACAATTAGGGTTTATCACTCAATGAGTATCGCCTTCCGTCTTCCATATGAACAGATGATACGGAGTAATTTCTTGTGGATATCCCCTCTGGACCCCAGCCAATGATTATAGGCTGCTACCGCTCTGGTCTATTGACCCCGTGATGTTGGTTCGGCCTACCCCTCATCTCCCAGATTTCCGGTTCTCAGTGGGTTACCGGATTATTATCCTACACTATAGGAACTCCAATTTCGATACCACCTTCCGGAGCCGTATGCGATTCGCTTGGAGGCCAGAGACTTAAGTAAATCTGGGCTTGTTTTGGTCTCGGTAGATGGTTACGCGCCCGAGAAACACAGACATGCAGATTCTGCTTGGCCACGTATATTCGAGCAGAGAATTTGAGTGCGTGTATAAATTAACTGGTCGAGACGTTGAAACGTAAACCCTTCTTTTAAAGACTGCTTTCTATGTCAGGCATTCATCATGAAATCTAACATCTCAACGTTGTGGAGCCTAATGGCTTTGGCGGGTCTTGCCCGCGCGCAATTTGAAGACTTCTTCAACATTACAGAATTTCCAAAGGAGCAAAAAGACAATGTCACAAAATGGTTAAACGATGCACGAACGCTTGCAGGCCCAGATCTGTACCCATATTTTGCACACCGCTGCATTCTCGGCCAAGTCTACCCTGAGCTTTCCTCCGCCACACAGATATCAGGGTTCATTGCCCCTCGCGAGGTCTTTGACCGATTATATTACATTGGGCAGAGTGCTGTCTCGGCATGGGCTTACAATACTGGTGATGGCCTCGTTGTCTTCGATGCTCTCAACAATGCTGCTGAGGCCGAAGGCATCCTGATCCCCTCTCTCGAGACACTTGGATTCACTGCCAGCGACATCAAACATCTCGTCATTACCCATGAACATTTTGATCATTATGGCGGGGCTCGATGGCTTCAAGATAACTATTCCTTCGCCACATACGCCTCAGCTGCGGCTTGGGAAACTCTATCGCAGATTCAGGACGGGCCGATCAAGGACAGAACCATCTCAGATGGTGACCGACTGACTATCGGCAATGTTACATTCAGCTTTTTCGTGACGCCAGGGCATACACCAGGCACTGTGTCGACAATCTTTGAAGTATTTGACAAGGGCACAAACCATGTCGCTGGCTTCTATGGCGGCGTTGGCATTCCGAGCAGTGCGTCAGCCAAGGACCAGCAAATCATGTCTTTGAACCGATTCGCGGACCTGGCAAAGAAGGCGGATGTGGATACCCTCATTGCCAACCACCAGAACCAAGACCGAGCGCTCTATCACTTCGATCTCTTGGATCATAGACCAGACGGCACTCAACATCCATTTGTCATCGGCACAGACGCCTTCGATCGATATTTGAAAGTGAACAGGCAGTGTGTGAGGGTCAAGGCTGCTAGAGATGGGCAGTTTCTGCAAGTCTAGCAATGGTCCAACACGGGAATCTCAGTTACAGAATCATAGCCTCGATTTATTCACACACTTATGTTACCAACACTTATGCTATCGATGGTTTCCCCGATAAGTTGTGGGTGCATTCTCCTTAGTGCCCAAAAAGGTCGAAGTGTTTAAGTATGTACGGGAATGTAATATAAAAGAGTGGAATCCGGATGAGTCTCTTCGCATCTCATGCGGGCAAGCTTCCGCTGATGGACCAGTACACGTTATAATTGAAACCTTGGGCATCATAGAAGGGACCAAGGTTCACAGTTTTGCCACCCGCCGTCGCCGTAAAAGCCAATCCAGTAGTTCCAGTTCTCTTCACGGTGGCCAAGTTCAACGCTGGGGTAGTGGAAAGTGCTTCGCTTCCATAATTCCCACTCAAAATGACAGGACCGTAGGCGATTGCGGCGATGCTGGGGTTGTCGTTCGCAGGAATGACTTGTAGCTTCATAGGTAGCTTCACAACCACCGTATCGCCCGAGGCCCAGGTGCGGTCGATTGACGCATATGTTCCAGCGGCACTGCTTATGGCTTGGCCATTCACAGTAACTTGAGCTCCAGAAGCCCATGCTGGGATACGGACACGCATAACCCATTTGCCAGCACCAGTGACCTTCAGGGTTGTTGTATCACCGCGGGGGAAATCGGTGGTTTGGGCAACAGTGACGCTGCGCTGAGTCCATGTCAGAACAGAGGGTATGAACAGGTTGACGTAGAGCGCAGAGTTGTCGTAAAAGTAGATGGAGTCCATGAGTTTTGTGTTTGTTTCCAACCCAGTTCCTTGGCAGCACCAGAAGGAGTCATAGTCTGTACTCCAGGTTCCACCGCCCCAGGCCGGACCGACGCCACGACGTCCACCCGGGTTCAAGGGAGTGAAGTATGTGACATGACCATGACCATCAGATGGGTTCTGCTGGCCCAGCAAATGGTTGAGCAAAGCACGCTCATAAAAATCAAAGTAAGTTGTGGCGCTCGGGTTTGTCAACCAAAGCTCTCGTGTGAGCTTGAGCATGTTGTACGTGTTGCAAGCCTCGCAAGTGTCTTGATTCAAGAATGCAGCGATGGCATTGGGGAGCCTAAAGTGCTCTGCCTGGCTGTTCCCACCAATTGCGTACGAATGCGCGCTGACGGTGATGTTCCATGCGTTACGGGCGATGTCCTGGTATCGACTAGTTCCCGTGGCTTTGTACTCGCGTGAGGCACCGATCCATTTTGGAACTTGAGTGTTCGCGTGCAAGCCATTGAGGCTATCCTGGTTTGAAGCAAGAGGATCAAATATGGCGGCATGGTCAAATCGCTGTGCGACAGTGAGCCAACGTTGATCCCCGGTTTGGTGGAAGATGTCGGCCAAGACTTCATTCATTCCTCCAAATTCTGTGGCCATCATGGCTTGCATCTGGGCATACGTGAGCTTTCCCGTACGAGAGTCGACCCACGCTGCCATCGCAAGAAGAACGTCTCGCGCGTTGGTGTCACCGATGTGGCGCCAAACGTCGAGCAAGCCAGCCATGGTCTTGTGAATGGCATAGTAGGGAACGTTGCCGTTGCTGAGAGTGCGGTTCTCAACAGCGGTGATGTCAGACTCGGGAAAGCCAGAAAGGTAGCCGGTAGTAAAGCCAGCTTTGCTGTTGTTGGCTTGACACTTCTTGAGTTCGGCAGCAAAGTAAGTAGCCCTACTCTTGCATTCGGCGTCGCGGAGCTGGGCGTAGCAAAATGCCCATGCATTCAGAAAGTGGCCTTGGACGTGAGTTCTAAATGGGAAATCCGGGGCATCCCATCCGCCGTTGGTCGCCGCGTTGTTGGTTGACAGTCCATGGTTCTTGCGGAAGTTGTACAGCAAGCGCTCAACGTCGACCGCTTTAAGGTACGTCAGAGTGCGAGCCTGGTTGTCGAAGAAGCGTCCACTGCTCAACGTGACCTGGCTCATGTCGAAGGCCCAAGCCGAGACACCCTTCTCTTGGCTGACAGGAGGCACGGCCTGTGCGGTCACGTCCCAGACGGACGATCCCACAACTATCGCTAGGCAAGCAAGGCCTCGCAGGCTTTCTGTCGTAAACCACATCATCTCAACAATTTGGGCCAAGGCTCGGCACGAAGGTTTGGTATTGGAAATTCAACGAATGACTCAAGCTCTGAAAGCCGACAACTCTTTGCCGATGTGAGGCAGCACCCAGGTTGCTACGAATGTTTTATAGTTGTCACTAACATCAAATCAGCCCGCCGCCCTGACGCTTCCCCATGGGGAACAACAGCGGCCTTACACGACGCAAACCTCGTGATACTGATACTCCACTATTAACTCGTTCAACGACTGGTGCGCATGGTCGATTGCGGAGGTGAGGTTACACTCATGAACTGATGGTATGTTAATTGTAGGCTTGTGCAGGCTGGCCCCTGGTTCGCCTTCCCCGCACGATAGAGTGGATGCTGGCAACAAGTCGATTGGTGCGGTACTTTCAACCTTTCCTCGAACTTGAGGATCTGCCAAGAAAGATTCTCCGTCAATTCTCTTCATTGGATGTGACCGTTAGTGGTCAGCCTAGAGGCGGGCCGAAAACGGGGAATGGCGCATTAATGTTCTGTTGTAACCACATCCTACCTTAGGCGCTGGAATCACAAAGTGTAGCGCAGCTCATCTTGAGGGTGCATCGTATAAACTGCTAGCCTAACGGAGATCTGCCCATCCCATCACATTGCTGTGATTCACGGCTAGTCAGTCAAGTCGCGGTGCCGGCACAGCCGATTTAGTGATATGATGGATGCTTCAGGCGGACGATAATTGGGACGCATGATCTTGGTATTCAACACCAAGTTCCATTAGACATTTTCCGTCAAGACTACTCGACTCAGTGCAGTGTGCAATGCAACTTCGTCCTCATAACCCCTGGACTCGATACGAGCCCAATGATATTGATGGTAATGGAACCATTTGTGGCTGAGTTGCTGATCGTTTACTTGACCGCATCATTAAGTGGCACTTTCTGCTAAGGAAAGTACGCTTACACTTCCAAAGTTCGTGTCTCGCTACATATTGATGATCAGAGGGTCGTTCCAGGAGCTGCTTGTCTCATTTCCCAAGGCCGACATAGATGACCCCTGTAGCCACCAAAGCAGTGAGGGTGCTCGACAATGTCTTTCACTCTGTGACCTTGCCGGGGATCATATCAAACTCTATTGCCAGGTTGCATGTACAAGATGAGCAGAAAGTGATAGTATCACTGGGTAGGGGTTCTTTCGGACTGACAAGGCGGCTGCATAGAACATGTACCATCGCTGGCATCCATAAGCAAGTGTCCAAGTAAGAGGCGTACGTAGTGCAACGTTCCTTCTAATATTCATTTATAATGAAGACCAAAAAGCGTCCTTAACCAGACATTCAATGTTCAGAGAAAGAATTCGTATAACGGTCAGCCTGTGGATAAGTCCTGATGAGTGCGTACCGACTCATCATCCGTAAACACAGCTGGCAAGATCAAGTCCCGATAGACAGGTTGTGCTCGCAACGGCCCCATACATTAGCAATCAGGAAACCCGAGAAAAGACTTGGTCGAGGCAAGGTCGATTCCGACCTTGATATGTCTCCAGGTAAGACATCAATGAAGTGACCGCAATGTAGGACGATAGTCGTCGCCCGCTATCGCAACGCTCCTACGTATTCTTTCTGTCTATTTGGCTACGCTAACTCTTCTTTCTCTTCGTAAAAGAAGTCCGTAGGCTCACATAACACGACACTTTGGCGAACAGTCTCCACTCCTTGTAGTATTTATGAAACATCTGATCGAGAATGATTTCGAATCTTGAGCCACCTCTCATTCCCCCTTCAGAATCTCAACCCTTGGACAATGTGAGGCTCCCTGCTATGTCGTGATCGACTCCAGGCCCTGAAGCATTACTATGTCCATCCGATACAAGTCGCGACCTTCATCATCAAGGAAAGTCGATGGTCCTTGGCTAATCATGAGCATCTCCACCTCGTTGTGAAAAACGAGAGGATCGTGAATAGCCCCTTTTCTCTCTGAGACGTAGTCCCCTTGGGCAAAGTGGCCTGTCTGAGGATGGTTGCCGTTGCCTTTGATAACGTATATCTCTGCGCTCTCTTCGTGTCGATGACGGGGAAGAACGCCTCCCTGTTCAGCGCGGATAATGACTGTGTAGGATCCAGTGTTGTGAATCAACTTAACAAGTTTAATCCATATTTTGGGGGCAAGTGGTAGCCATTTGAGGCTATTGCAGTGAACTGTGTCACCGCTATCATGCTGATTTGTTGCATCCATAGTGGTGGACTTGGTGGTGGCGGTTGGGGCGTGGTTTTTTGTGATAGAGATTAGGAAAGATTCGTGTAATTAAGATGATTTGGAACTCTCAGTCAAGGATTATGATCCGCAATCACAAGATTTTTTATCCTTTCCTCTTGAAGAAACAAAGCGTTCCGCTACCTAGGTATGAGTCTTAGATATGATTCAAGCCGATCTCTGCAGTGGGTCATGGGCCCAGACTATACGCGTATTTCATACCGTAGACACGTCACTAGACCTAGCAGTTTAGATCCGCGATGACTTCGCCATTCATCGGGCAGCCCGGATAAGTCAGAATCTCCAGCGGCTTACCGATTCGAGGCGCAATCAGCGACCTTCAGATGTAGAAAAGCAGCTGCCATTGGCTACTTTTATCTGTGGGCCATGTCAGCAGAAAACAAATTGAACCCACCAAGACTGACAAAGCTTAGTGATAAGCGCACAATACTTACCGGAAGATTATCAATAAATCCGAAATTCCTTGAAATCAACTCAACTTCTATGGTGCCTGGTTGGGGGAACAATCTCAAGCTTGTCATCAAACGTCGAAATCGAAATGCAATTGGGCGTTCGGTATCGGTATTCGAATTTCGGCTAGATTCTGGGCGTTTTTTTCCGTAATTATCCGCTGCGAGATGGACGAAAACTTTAGCGCCTTGTTCCGAGAACGAATGTGAGCCGAGTTCGCTGCGTAAAACTCAGCTATAAGCGGGGAATCAAGCTGTCGGAGCGTGAAGTCCAGGCAACGTCTCATAGGTTCTACAATCGGAACTTCCCTCAAGAGACAACCAAAATGCTAATGGCTCAAAAATGTCTGTATTCTATCTAGAGTCACGTTTTCACCTTCAAAAAGGGGGAAGTTGTGTGTTGGCTAGGGGCACCAAGCCCGCAAGCGTTTTAATCGTTGAGCTTAGCAATCTAGACAGCACAAGGCACAGGAAGAGAGAGTCAGAGAAAAGCTTAGAGATCGTGACAAGAAACAACGACTAAGACTGTGGTTTCATGGAAATTTTCGTTTGGCACTATCAGTCATCTATCAATTATAATGTATAGGTCATACCAACTGTGCAAGGCGCCACAGTCCCTGGGTTGATCTTCTCAATTTCCGTCTTAAACTTCCAGCCAGTGCAATGGCCTCCATGCAAGATACGCGGTGACAACTTCACCATATCCTCCACCGTTCTCTGCAGCTTCTCGGGGCTTGCATCGGACATGTGATAACCGCCAGAGATGCAATAGACAGTTTGTACCCCGCTAAGACGTTGAGCATCGCGAGTGGTGTTGATTACACCGGCATGGCCACAGCCGGTGAAGATGACGAGTCCCTTGTCTAAAGATGCGTAAACATCAATGATTGGCCATTATCAAAGGTGCAAGAGCGGACTTACCTCTAACGTTACACATAACGTATCTCTCCTCCAAAATTTGTTCATCCTTTATCCATGAACCCCCATTGTCTCCTTCAGACGATGGAACGAATCTCAGACCCCCAGGAATTCCAGTTTCATACGTTGTTTGTCTGGGAACTTCACCTGAAACCACGAACATGTCATCGAGAATGGAATGTGCATCTCGTGATAGTAGGACTTGAGCACCTGCCTGCTCCACGTCAGAGAACGTAGGGTCTGCTTCGAGAGAAATAGGGCCTTGAGGAGTCTCGATGCCGCGGTACTCAGGACGATCTGAATGCATATCAACAATAAGTTGATCAGAACCAAGGGTTTTGCTCCCCTTGACCATGTCGATGGCCCGCAATAAGCCACCTTTTACAGTCGATGCAGTCAGTAGGGGAAAGTAGGCGCAATGTCAAAAGTGAAGCACGTACCTGAGTGGTCTCTGTGATAATGGGACAGCACAATATGGTCTATGTGGCCAATTCTCGCGTTCATTCTCCTGGCATTTCTGTCCCACACTTCCCCTTCAGGTCCTGCGTCAAAAAGCAAGGTTTTCGTACTTTCACCACACTTCGCAGTCTGCTCAGAGCGTTAGTACTCGCAATCAATCATCACTGGTTTGAGTAGTTTTCGAGATAGGGCTTAGTGAGAGACTCACAATCATGAGACTGAGACCATGAGCAGCGCAGCATATGCTGCTCATCTTCATCTCAACCTCTGCACCTCCGCGTGTTTGAGGACGTTCAATAGGAGAAACAGGAATGCCCAAGAAATGGCTAGGATGTTGGATATCGGGATTCGGGGAAGGTGAAATAGGGCCCAACTCGTCTGTCACGATGACAGCCACTTCCAAGCTGTCAATCTCCTTTAACATCAACGGCGACATTTGATGACTATGTATCGGCAAAGCAATAGTCAGGCAGCAAAGGAAGAGGTTTAGAGTCAAGTTAGGGGTTGGGGGTAGACTAGAAAGAGCGAAAGAAGACGGCGTGCAATGTTGGCCCAAAAGTTTTTAAGGGAAGAGAAGGGACTTTAAATACATATGCACATCAAAGTCTATCCTGGGTAGAATCTTCACACCATCTACAACAGAACAAGGCACACGATAGCACACGGATACTGGGACTGAGAATGATCTGCTTCCAGCAACGCCGTCAGGACAGGACCAGGAGGAGAAGTGGACCCACGCCACTTTTGTGGAGTAATGTCATCCTCATTCCCTAGCAAAAGCCGCGTCCCCCTTCGTCAGATCCCATAGTCAACATGTATTGTGATGGTAGTGTGGCTCCTGGCGATTGCGTCACGACTCTGATATCGACTGCTCGTTCATTGCCTACAAAGTAATACCGTCGTTTGTCAGCTCGTGTTGAGTGACTGTGGACTACCCTGGAAAGAAATGTTGACTATGAGATCTGGGAAGGACCATTTTGCCTCCAGCTCATTAAGTCTGCAATATGATTTTATATCTTCAGATATGTCAGCTTGGAGAGGAAGCTCCTGCTCTGAAATGACAAGAAGGGAGATGCTCGGTCTAACGCGGACCTCACGACAGCTAGTTCGTCCGGTACCGAATGTGTCACTCAAAACAGCAGTCGGCGGCACACCGGAAGTGGGCTCCGTTTGCGATTCTCCATCCAACCAAGTCAAGCTCCTCGGGACCCATCGATTTGTCCCCGTAGGTCGGCGACTCCTCCTTGCTGTCACGACAACTTCGCCTCAGACTTGACTCATATACATTACTATTAGGTAACCTAATTGGTAAGCAATTGTCATTTCGTTCACCCGCAGTTCCATCACGCGTGCAAGAAGGGCTGGAAATAGTAGCATGACTGTGCTACATTGATAAACTAAGTCTTAAGAAATGATAAGTAATTTCCGAAAAGAAAACAACAAAAAGAAGGAGGATAGCTTTGTACTGATTACAATTTCCAAAGATAACTAACATTTTATTCAACATATCCTGGGAATATTCTACTCAAAAAGCATTCGAATTAATACTAAGTAAACAGAACACTGTTACAATTATCTTAGATAATCTTTTGAGAATGCTTGAAAGCCTTAAGGTAATTGTAGTAATGAATAAATGCATTATTATAAGGTACCCAACTACCTCTGTACTAACTCTATATGCTTTTATGTTACTCCCTTTGTCAATAAAATGTCTTGAGCATAAACCTGTAACTCAATTTAGCTTTCATTTTGTAAAAGCCTTTCACTATTTCCGGATCGCTGGTTGCCGCTGCTCCTCATAGATATGATAGCATACCAGGTGTTGATCAATGATTCCTCTTCGTATTGACCTATTCCAGTAACATATAAACTCAGTGGATTTCAGTTGACTTTGTGAAAACCATTCTTGCCCTGCGACAGGGTCCACGATGCGTTTGGTCAGTAACTCTGCCATGTTTACTACTAAAACCCTGACAGAATCTGACTTGACTATACCAAGAAAACATGCTCCTTGCTTTGAATGGGGGTTCCAACTTATTTTGCCGTCTTAGCTGTCGTTATCATTCTCACTCCAGTGTGATTGGATTGCAGGAGTCCCAAATGACTTCTAGTCTTACTATATAATTATCAAAGCTAAATAAAGTTTGATAGATCGATGCTATGCAATCACAATTGCACTTCTGGACTGAGCACCCGAATAGTCTCTTGAGAACTTGTTCGCCCTGTGTTTTGAGTCCTCCCACGATAAAAGAGGTTGACCAGCTCAAAGCGCCCAAGACAGCATATTCCACCGCCCCCCCCCCCCCCCCCCCCCCCCCCCCACCCCCCCGCACACCCCCGCCCGCGGCGAACCCACCCCCCCCCCCCCCCCCCACAAAAAGAGGGTGACCACCCCAAACCGCCCCACACCCCACACCCCCCCCCCCCCCCCCCCCCCCCCGTCCCGAACCGAGCCGAGCCGAAGACCCGGCCCGGTGGAAACCATTCCCCGACTATCTCACGGGGCCGGGTCGAGATGTGCGGGGCCGGCGCTTCCTCAATTGAAGTCATGGAGTGATCTGATCTACACACAGTCACCAAATCAAAATACTACAAAACCGCATGAACAGGTCGTTACAATTGCATACTTCCGCCGCCTTAGTGTATTGGATGACATACAACTTCAACACCCGCACGACAGACTGAAAGCTATAGTAACACACTGTATGAATCGAACCATACCTCCGAAAACTGAAATGGCAACGGTAACACAGACCATTGATCGAGTGGAAGCGAAGAGAACCTTTGCTGCTCAGTTCGAAAGCAAAGACCTCGTTACATTTGACGCCGGCAAGCACTATGGGGACTGGCGCGATGAATTCCACCGAAACGGCTGCGTAATCATCAAGGACGTTATCAGTAAGGAGCGTGCCCAATATTACTGCGACAAGCAAATCGAATGGTTGAAGAGATTTGAACTTGGCTTCGACGAGAGTGACCCTACTACATGGACTGCGGATCACCTTCCAGTCAGTTTCAAGGGAGGGTAAGTTGAAGAACCTGCTTTCCCGAAGAAAGATGACCGGGACTGATATCCCTTACTCCCGTAGTATGTATTCTGCGTACGGTGCTTCTCATGAGCAGATGGCATGGGAGGCTCGTATGGAGCCAAGTGTCATCGATGTCTTCGAGAAGCTTTGGGAAACCAACGAACTCATCACGTCATTTGATGGCATGAACATTTCTCTACCGAACCGTAAGGACATTACGTGGAGTCCTTGGCCGCATTGCGACCAGAATCCTGATAGGAAAGGGTTAGTTACATCTTGACACAGTTGTCTGAAACTTTACACTAATGCTTCGTAGCATGCAGGCTGTTCAAGGTCTTTTGAACTTCGCGCCCAACGGCCCAGATGATGGTGGCCTGGTTCTGATGCGTGGCTCAGCCAAGCTTTTCGATGAATTCTTCGCGCACAAGCGTGAATCCGCCGACCATGAAGACGCCCCGCCTCCAGAAATAAAGTTCATGGACCTCTTCCTCTTTAGCGAGAAGGATGTTGCATGGTTTGAAAGTAAGGGATGCGAGCTCTTCAAGGTGAATATGGAGCCTGGCGATTTCGTTTTGTGGGATTCGCGGACTATGCACTACGCCCGATTTCCCGAAGGCGATCAAATTAGACACGTGCAGTACATCTGTATGACACCGCGGAAATTTGCGACGGATGAAGCTTTAGCAGCAAAGAAATATTGCTTCGAGAATTGGTTTGGCACGACACACTGGCCGCACTGGTAGGTTTCATAACTCCCATGACCGCCCGCGCATCTGCTGACCAGTATTAGCAATATTCGCCCATCACAGGATCCTCCTAAGAGAAAAGGCGAGGTCTGTCCCAAGCACCGGAAAGAGCCATTTGAGAAGCCTAAGATCACAGATAAGCTGTTGCAATTGGCTGGGATTAAGGACTACTAGTCATCACAAATAGAATCTGAGATGTGGTATTGCGAGATAATTAGACACTCAGTGCACGCCTCAGTATGCAGCAACAGAGCTCACTATCTCCTATCAAGTTACCTGAGGGCCAAGGGCATGGACGGGTGGAATAGAAATGTACTCCAGCAACCGTATCGTCTTAACCTAAACTTCTACGTTTTGGGGCGACGGGAATCTGGTTGAACTCGTAATGCCAAGAGTACAGTATTCAGAATTCGACACCGATGGCTGTGTGCAAATTACGCAACATGGGTACTTCGTGAGGAGTAAGTTCGTGAAGTACTTCAGACTACCTTACTATTAAGAATTTGAGTCGGACTTCGAGTCGGCGCTCTCGATAAGGGCTCCCGATACCAAAGGCGTCGTGTTGGATTTCTAGGCTGGCGCTATAGGTGAAGACGATGCTGGACTTCCCAACGCTTTGAGTTCATTAGTCTGGACGCTATGTGCGGTGGCTTGTGTCCAGAGCGTCCCATGACACGTCCTGCGCAACTCACCTTCAAGCTTGCCGCAGCCTATCTTGCGCTGAGATCTCAAAAGGCTAGAAGTGCATCGAGGCAACGATAACATTCAGTATCTTTGCATGAATCAGGCTGTAATGCTTGAGCAAAGATTTAACAGTTATGAAGAGATGAGTGCCTGGGCTAACATTGAGAACAAAATTGACGACCCGCTCCAAGTGACTAATCATCGGAGAAGTTGGATGCCAATAGATGACATTGGTCCCATGTAGCCTCATTCTTTCGCCCAAACAGACTGGAAGGTTTTGGTCCAGCTGAGGACAACGTAAGCAGCGAGGCCGGCTCGAAAATAGCCAACATCAGTAGCCCTAGTTGACCAAAACCGCGTGGTTAGCATGTTAGATACAGTGAAATGGATCAAAACGCGGCCAACTCGGCTTGGGCCCGACACATAGTCCCCACACACGGAAAATTGGCGGAAAATCATATTCCACCAGTTGAAACTCATATTCCATCACAAGTCGGGCGCTAGAGATGTGAACGTGTCGAAACCTTTCCCCCGCAAGCCCGCGTAAAACCCCACCTCCGAACCCCAGGGCCGCCATTTCCCCTCGGGCAATAAGCCGGAGAAGTCATGCTTCGGTGAGAACCCCGCGATACCGAAGTCAACAGTTTTTGGCCTCTGAACAACGCGATACCATGGGCATCTAACTAGACAACTTGATACTATGTCTCCCTGAGGCTTCTTTTAAGAATCTGTGAGTCTGAAAGCATCTTAGGGATGATTTAAGACTGTCACGAGCACTTGTCGGCCCTACTTAAAGTCGTAAAGCACAGTTTGAGCTGTAGAGCTAGTATCCGAACCCCTGCTCTGTTAACAGAACCGCTAGCGTTGTGAGAATCGAAGTGAGTTTGGTACCAGTGTGGAAGCACCCCGCATTCTGTGTACGACTCATGGAACCCACTGTGATGCAGTCTTTGTCCAGTCTGCCAGGACCCATGAACTTGGGCTGTATGGAGGGTGCGCCAAAGCTTGCCTAGCTCGCCCAACAGACGCCTCGACGATCCATGCCGGGAGTTGGCCGAAACCGCAGAGTCGGTAGCGGGAATTAGCACAAGGCTACTTGAAGCGCTCTATCAGAGATTCAAGTATTTGAGGAAATCACACCCTCTTCCTCGAGCTTGCGAGTAGGTCTACGCCGCGGCGACACATCATACACCCCCGAAATTTCCACCCAGCAGCACTGACAAAGACTCTCAAGCGAGCCCGCAACTCGCTATTAACAATGGTCGACACAATTCCAGACATTGCGGATACCAAATCGCGAAAGAGCGATGTTGAGCATGTCGAGCAAGATCTTCAGAAGCCACAGCTTCTGCGTGAAGACGGCCAGCAAGAGTTCCCAGAGATCTACCTTGAAGCGCTGGCACGGTACCCAAATGACGAATCAATTGACCAAGCCGATGAGAAGCGTCTTCTCCGCAAACTGGACATGAGAATATTGCCACTTCTCGGAATCTGCTACTTTTTCTACTACGTCGACAAGACCACACTGTATGGCCTCTCTTCCATAGACCCGGCATCCCGGACTCTCTGCAGCCTTTAATAGCTAATCATACCATAGATCTTACGCAGCGATTTTCGGGTTAAAGGACGGCCTCAACCTGAAAGGCGAGGAATATCTTGGCTATCAAGTTGCTTCTAAGTCAACATACCCACTTCCTGGCACCCCCCTGTTTCTGGCACCACAAAAACGATGGGATCACAACCCAACCTCCTCATTACTATTAACTATTGATCCTCAACCACACCCACTACAATACAGCTGCCAGCCTCACTAGGGCATTCAGAGTCGCTGGATTCAGCCGTGATAACCTCCTTTTCACCCGCTTCGATTTGAGCCCGATGGATATCCCTGATGTTCGCGAACTTCGTATTGGGATCG